ATGCTGCTGCTGCTGCTGCTGCTGCTGCTGCTGCATGCATTTCTTTTTCTTCATATAAATATATAAATCAATTAAACCCATTTCTTTCTTTTTCTCATTCTGATCCTCTTGCCTTCCTAGAATCACTGCAGCAGCTCCATAGACAGCTGCTGCTGCTGCTGACGCCCCCCACAGACACGATCCCCACAACACCAGCAGCAGCAGCAGCAGCAGCACCAGCAGCAGCAGCAGCAGCAGCAGCAGCAGCAGGAGGAACGCCGCATTCAAGGTAAGAATGCAGTGTACATACACCTAAACAAAACACCACTTTTGTCGATATACAGCAGCAGAAAGCTCAACACAAACGCAACGAATTTGCATGCATGCAGCAGCAAACGCATGCATGCATGCAGCAGCAGCAGCAGCAGCAGCAGCAGGAGTTGCATGCATGCATTGATACGTATGTTTGTCTGTGTGTGTGTTTTTTTTTTTTATATTATTTCAGGTGTATGTACACCGAAGAAGAGTGGGGTGCAGCGCAGCAGGAGGCAGCAGCAGCACCAGTGCAGCAGCAGCAGCAGCAGCAGCAGCAGCAGCAGCAGCAGTTATTTTCAGTATTATTGAGAGTGTATGAGTTTTGCTGCTGCATCCGCAGCAGCAGTTTATTATATTCAAGCTTCTTGCTGCTGCTGTGCTGCACCTCAGCAGCAGCAGATGACCCCCTGCTGCTGCTGCTTGCTGCATGCTGGAGGCTCTGCGATGCAGCAGATGCAGCAATACACACAATAAACCCCACCTGTTGCATGCAGTGGCAATCAGCAGCAGCAGCAGCAGCAGCAGCAGCAGCAGCAGCAGCAGCAGCAGCAGCGAACAGCAACCACTACTACTATCACAACCACCATCATAAACACCACCACCATACACCCAACAACTACGAAACAGCAACAGCAGCAGCAGCAGCAGCAGCAGCAGCAACAGCAGCAGCAGCAGCAGGAGATGTGTGTCTACTATCAGCAGAGGAAGAAGCAGCAACAGCAGCAGCAGGAGCAGCGGGGTACCGCAACAGCAGCAGCAGCAACAGCAGCAGCAGCAGCAGCAGCAGCAGCAGGAGAAGCATGCATTCTTTTTGTCGTTTATTTAGCGGGGGTTCATTTTCTCGTTGCCGGGTATCGAACGCGCGCGAGGCACCGCAGCAGCCTGCATGCATATTTTTTTCTTTTTCTTTGTGTCAGTGTATATTTTATATTCGTAGTTTTGTTGCTTCTCTGCTTCCTTCTCTTCTTTGGGTTCTTCTCTCTCGTTCGCTGCTGCCGCTGCAGCAGCAACCACTACCACATCTGCTGCTGCTGCTGCTGCAGCTCGCGCAGCAAAAACACCAGCAGCAGCAGCAGCAGCAGCAGCAGCAGGTACAGGCCAACGACAAGACAGACGCAACTGCAACAACAGCACAAGCAGCAGCAGCACCAGCAACAGCAGCAGATGCAGCAACAGCAACAGCAGCAACAGCAGCAGCAGCAGCAGCAGCAGCAGGGACGCAGCAGCAGCAACAGTCTACAAGTTCTTTCTATCCACAGCTGCGTAAGTTGCTGCTGCAGAGCAGCAGCTCAGACTGCTGCAGCAACACTGAGGGCCTGGAGGATCTGCTGCTGCTGCTTGCGAACAGCAGCAGCAGCAGCAGCAGCAGCAACAGCAGCAGCAGCAGCAGGGCCTCCTCTCAGAAACGCAACAAGGAGAGAGAAACGGGGTCGTTTGGTGCTGCTGTTGCTGCTGCTGCTTCGCTGCCTCCCACCCTTCGGCTGGAGGTGTCTGCATGCAGAAACAGCAGCAGCAGCAGCAGCAGCAGCAGCAACAGCAGCAGCAGCAGCAGCAGCAGTAGTAGTAATTCATTGTTGCAGTTTCTGTCGGTGTTTGAAGGTGGACAGAGCTGCTGCAGGCTGCTGCTGCAGCAGCAGCAGCGCAGCAACCAGGTGCTGCAGCAGCTGCAGCAGCAGCAGCAGCAGCAGCAGCAGCAGCAACCAGACAGCTCAAGAGGGGTATTGCGACAGCAGCAAGAAGAGAAAGAGCAGCAGCTAATTGCTGCTGATTCTGCTGCATCACATCAGCAGGATACAGAGAAACAACAGCAGCAGCAGCAGCAGCACCATCAGCAGCAGCAGCAGCAGTTGCTGTTGCTGCACCGGGATCCACTCCCTGCTGCTGCTGCTTCTGCTGCTGCTGCTGCTGCATGCATAACCCCAGAGATGCTGCAGCAGCTTTGTCTTCGTGTCCTCAATTGCTTCTCCTTCTATGCATGCGCATGCAGCAGCTTAGAGGCCAGCGTTGCTGCTGCAGCAACTGCAGCAGAAGCTGCTGCTGCTGCTGCTGCTGCAACAGACGCAGCAGAACCTGCTGCTGCTGC